ATCACTTAAAAAAATCATAAGGTTAACATCAAATCACAAATGCAAAACAGCCATTATTGTATTTACTCAAAAAACTTTCCTCCAGTTTACTAGCTCATTAGGGTTTCAGCTGAAAAATGCATGTTTTCAGGGTTCAATCTATGCTGGCACATCATCTTGATAAGCTTCTTTCATCAGATGTTGTATTGTAAGAAAGGCTGTCTGAGTCCACATTTGTTTACATTTATTAAAAATACTTGTCATGTGTTTATATAGCTCCTTTGATCCAGAAAAATCCCCAAATACTTTGTAAGTTATGCTTAAAAAGGCCACTTCCTCCGCCCTGAACAGAAACCATGTTGGGACTGAAAGATGGCAGCAGATTAAATGTGCACAGAAATATCCCTGTAATTGAGCCAGTGCTCGCTCCTTCAGTGTACCACCAGTTTTCCATCAGCTTGAGAACAGTTGCTGGGAGTATAAGGGTGGTTTGGGGGCAAAAAGCAGTTGAAAAAACATCTTCCTAGAGATTGCAGAGGGGCAGCATGTGAAATAAGTGGCTTCTAATTGGGAGCCAGAGCTTCTCGTGCACTTTCTTTTGCTGATTATTATATTATATATATTAAATATATTATATATTTGGCTGGTAATACCTCAGAGAGACCTACAGGTCCCAGTTTGGGGCAGCTCACTTCAGAGAAGATGCAGATCAACCAGGCAGAGTCAGGGGGGAAGAGAAGAAAAGGTGGAGGGAGAGCACGTGAGGACTTGCAGAAAAAGGCAGAGGGAATTGTTTGTTTAAATGAGAGAAGGCCGAGGTGAAACGTGGTTAAGTCTTCAAGATATGTGAAAGGCTGCTGAGAGTAGGAATGGAATAAACCTGCCTGTGGGGACAAGAGGAGTCACGAACTTGTGCTGTAGCATGGGATATTTGGTGAAACATTAGGCAGTAATTCTGGATGTCAAGTCTCTCTGCAGAGACTCTTGAATTGCAATCACTGTAGGGTTTTTTTGAGGCTGGATTAGACATACATGTCAGGAGGGGCTTAGATCTCATTCCTGTCTTTGGGACAGATGTGCCAGAAAGTCCCTCCTGGCCCTGTCTTCTGTGATCCTGATGCAGCGTCACATGTGGTTGTATGTGCCCTGCTTGTGTGAATAAACCAAGTCACACTAAAACTTTATTTGTGAGTTCCTTGCAAAGTCCTTGCAAACTAAACCAGAACAGAAATTCCCCCAAAGGGCTTTGTGTGTGTTTGTTTTATTTTTCAATTTTAAAATGCTCCCACATCATCAAGGTGCTTCAACATGCCTCCAGCGTAAAGGACTTGACTCATTTAATTGGATTCAGTAGGGTCTGTTCACGAAGCATGTGCCTGGGGCCCCATTTTTTGGGAAAGTTTTACACGTCCTAATGGTGGTAAGACAATGTATGACTAATGCACTGATTTGAAAAACTGCTCTATTATCTGATCAAAAGTACAAGCTCATGAATATGATACCCCAGGTCATTTGGCTAAACGGTACCTGGAGTCTTCCAAATTTTTAAAACAATCCCATACACAGAAGCAAAAAACAGGCATACGAACAGTGGAGCCAGTGGTTGCCTGTTCATCATAGCTCATGAGGAATGTTTTATTAAAGATGTTTTTATCAGACACAAAAACCTCAAACACGGAATATCCTGGGCTGGCAAGAGAAGGTGTGATAATAATTTAGATTATTATCCTCCAGATCTGTGATTCATTTATATTATTCTCTGAGTACATTTCAGGAACTGATCAAAACCTCCCTGAGGACAGTGGAAAGTGTCCGGTTGAGTTCAGGGGTCTCTGTTTTTGCTTTCATCTGAGGGTCAGTGAGATCCTATGTACAGGGGCAAACAGGCTCAGAGGGAGTTTGGAGAAGCCATCTCCTGTCACCCGAGCCACCACTAGGATTAGTTTGTAATCTAACATGGCTCTCTAGACCTCCTCCACAGCCCGCAGGAACAGAGGGACCCCCAGCCACACTATGTACCCATAGGGACCTACACTGGAATGGGGCAGACCACCTTCTGGAGATGCTTCTCTCCCCATTTGCTATAGAAACAGCCAAGTTGCAAGCTTGAACCAGAGGTTTTACGAGGAGTTTTGTAGCATTTGTTAGAAGGGTCATTTGCTTTAATTATCTCTAAACTGCCTTGGTGGTAGGCTAGCGTGCTAAAAGCAGAGCCACATTTAAGGAAATACATGGCTAAAGCAGGATTCCTTTGCTATTAGCATGCCTTGTACACATGCATGGAAACTCACTGTTATCCCCTCTTAAATCACTTAAGGATTTTTTAGTAACAAATAACTCCACCTAACAATATTTGTCCTAACAAAGAAGCATTTATAGAAATTTAATGTCTTGAAACCAACAAATGACCTCACTGACTGAGAAGAGGGGTCAAAAACTTCTCAGGTCTTTTGACAGGAAACCCTGGATTTCAAGTAAATTGTTTTCTTTTTCTCAAAAATACCTTTTTTTTTCAAGGGAGGAAAGAAAAAACAAAAACAACTAAAAAATTTGACAAAATACTTCTGGCAGTTGACTAGAAGATGGAAGCACATCATACAGAAATGCAAACTGTTGATTTAAGGTTTCTTTAGGAATTCCTTAGAGGTAGTTGGCTGATGAATGGGCTCAGTTCTCTGGCCAGCCTGATCCCCTTCCCCAGACATCTCATACATACGTCCCCAAGGTGCAGAAAGGCAGTCTGTGCAAGGGACATGTTAGTCTCAAAGACTGATGAAGCCATAGAATGAGTCAGGAGTAGGATATACCCAAAGTGTATGCAAGTCCCATATGGCACTGTGGCAATAATTTTTAAATTGAAGTTGAAAACCAGACCCTTCTTGCAGTCTGAAATTTAATTTAGGGCTAAATTGCTTATTTCTGTAAGTGACAACCTAAAGAAGATTACAAGCACCTTGCCCATACATGCTAGGGAAAAGTGGTGCAGAGTAAGAACCCCAAAGCTGTGTACCCTCTATCATCATTGCTAGATCACAGCACCACAATATCACTCAAAAGGATAAATGAGATCCGGATCAAAGGTTGGAGCATGACTGCATTTCTGTTGAAGTACTCAGCATGTGTAGTTTTGTCAGAAGTATGCTTTAATGATGCTTTATATTCGCTGTGGGTATGCCATTCATACTTGATGTTACATACATTACAGGAGCCTGAATAGACAGTACCTAATCTGCCATCATTCTTGCCAGCACTAAATTAACTGCTCAAAAACACTGGACAAATCTGAAACAGCAGCATTAACTTATCCCAGATCTGCGCTTTTTTATTAAGTGGCTGCAGCAGTTTTGATGCAATAGCACAAGTTCTGAAGCTGTATGCCCTATATCATCAATTAAAGATATAAACCAACCACTTGATTATGGGAATTTAGATAAGAGCTTTCTCCAGCATGGCTTGATTTCAAATTCTTTATTTACAGCAGTTTGTACCTCTGGAACAAGTACCACTTCTCACTGTCAAGAAATAATGCTGCTTAGATGTATTATCTGCTCTCATGAAGCAATTCCCATGTCTTTAATTATAGACTGCCTTTTCTTTTTGCTCTAATTCATAACACATTAGTTAAGATCACTTCTAGCAGCATAACAACTGTCCCGCCCAGAAGATGTGGTGACAGTGTAAAGAATGAAGGAAGAAGCTGAAATGAATTATTCCAAAACTTGGGGTGAAGTGTGACGCGCAGTGATTGTCTGTTGCGTTTGATATTGACCTGCCTGTGTCAGTGCCCTCTTCTGGGTGGACTCTGGTCTTCTCACGGTTTATGATTGACTCCATGCTTGTGAGGCGTCCAAGCTAGAAGCTCGAACCGATGGTGATGGCGATAGGCCATCTTATTAATGCTCAGGCAGAAAAAGACAAAAGCATTCACTGCTACTAAATTCTCTTTCTGCACACGAATCTGGAGCAAGGTATTGTTCCTTTTATCTGATGTTATGCAATACGCAGCCTTTTCTCCTCCAAGGTCAGGATCTCAGATACAGTAGCTAAATAGTTATAGGACTGCATAGCTACTTACCCCATCAAAAATGATGTGAGGGCCTAGTAACCCTGAATCCCCTCTATGGAAGATTTAAGAAGTAACACGGAGAATCTGCAAGTATTAGTGTCACATCTTGTTTTCAGAGGAACTTGTCTTTTTTCTCCTTGCTCCACAGCAGTGCCTTAACTCCAAAATCCACCTTGCACAGTCCACATGCTCGGTTATGCTGCTCCGTGACAACTGGTGGATTATGGATCAGCTGAAGTGGGGCGCAAAGGAAGCATTTAATGAAATGGGGATTACAATTTAAAACTTCCTAATCAATTGCAAATGGATCTTTTTGACCTTCATTGTCATGGGAATTGTGATGAATTCCAACGTGCACATTTAAAGCAAAGTTCTGGCTCAAGCTACAATCAATAAGCACCACTACTGAGGCAAAGCCTCAGCCAGGGAAACTTCACATCGAGTCTGGTTTTGGCATTATGATAGGATCCAAAATGTCTTAAAGCCAGGAAAAGAAAAGAAGCTGCTTGGTCTCCTGTGCTCAAAGTTATCTGTTTTGTAAGGGGATCCTGGAAAATTCTTTATGGTTTTGAGACAGGGGAAGGAAATGTTTTCCGGCCCCTCCTGGACTTGGTATCCACTCCATGATGGGTAAGGCATGGCTGTGAGACAGGCCAAATTTTGAGACCTTTGTTGGCAAGAAAGTATCTAAGAACATAAGAGCTGGGTCATCCTGGTGGATTCTACCAGCAGCCGGAAGCTGAGGGACATCCTGAATCAGATCTGTTTCCAGACCATCACAGTTACTGTCCCCTGGGGATCTCCCTCCGTGTCTAATACATGCAAATAATAATAATAATTATGATAATAATAATCGTGATTGTCATGGCTGTTGTTACTATGTATAGAATGACAGCTCACAGAGCAGAGATAAGGGCTCTCCTGTTTAATTTCCTTCTCTTTTGTTTTCTTCTAGCACCACCACGTTGCCTTCCTACATCAGGATAACCAATGGCTACATCACAGTCAAACCTCCCATTTGGATTTCCAACCGGCTGGATCAGAGACCACACTCAGACCGCCCGTCTCAGCCTCAGCCGACGAGCTCAGCTTCAGCCACCATTTTATGGCCGTCAATAACTTCTCTCTATGTGGCCATAGCTTCATTTCTTCTCAATCTACTGCAGCCTTCCTGACCGCATTAGGATTACGTGCAATCCCTTGGAATAGAGAAGAGAGATAATTTATGAATGAATTGGAGGTTATGACAACATTTGCAGACTGGACCTTCTCAGTGAATCAGTAGTGCCTTCTAGCTGATTTTGTCTCTTTGCCCAGATACGTTTTGAAACTCTAAAGCTTTATTGTAACACTGACTTACATCTTCTTTTTGTAGAAGGATCTTTATTTCCCATAGTGCTATGGGGTTTTGTAAAATATTCATGTTCATATAAAGAAAAAAAAAAGAAAAAGAAAAAATGTATTTATTCAACTGGTAAACTTATTTTTTCTTGTTGTATATGTTAATAACATCCCTAGTAATCAGTAGTGATGGTGAAACAGATAAATTAATATTTCCTATATTTGTTTTCTAACTGACAACTCTGCAAATGCCTGAACTGACACCAGATGAATGGCTTTTTTCTTTAACCATTACTTTCTACAGCAACTATCCAATAAGTACATTTTGCTGCATTTCTGTATTTTTCTTTTTAAAAAAATTCTTATTAACATAACTTAAACTGAATAAAGCAGATCCTGCTCTCTGTGGCCTATGCCCATTAGAAAAACTTGTGCATTCTTAGCTCAAGTCAGCTGCTACAACCTAAAATTTCAGATATTTTTATATGATTTAGTAAGTCATTAGTCAAAATAACCCTCTAAGATCCCCTGTTGTCTTTAACTCAACTATTTAACTTCTCTGGAAATTACCAATTTCCATCTTTGCCCTGGGATTAATTCATTATCTAACTCAAAACATCTTTTTCTTAATAAAATATTTCATTTTAAATCCGGAATTTTCCCAATGGAATTATTTTCTTCTCTCCCTCATCTTATATAAATAGAAGTCCACAATCTTTCGCAGCATAAATGAGACCAGAACTTGGTCTGTTTATAGGTTATAAAGATAAAGTTTCCTGCTAATCTATAGAACTGCTTTACACCAGTTAATGCAAGTGGGCAACCTGCAGGCAGGGAAAAAATGTCTAGAAATTCATCATCATCCTGCTATTGTGCTTAGAGATGGTATCTCCATGCTGAATTATGATTTGTCCAAAATTATTTCAAGACCACAGGAACCAAGCCCCTTTTGTCATGGAGATGTGCAAGAACTTTCCTGTTTGTAGACTATGGTGCTTCTGTTGACTATGATGGAAAAATTAAGACAATTTGCATGTAGTGCAAAGTTTGCTCACTTTCCAAGCAGCTACTTTTCAGTAATCAGAAGAACAACATCTGTGGGAAAAAACAAGTCCATCTTTAAAACTACCATGCTTAATAAGGCATGTTAACTTTTTCCCCAACAAAACAAGATGAAAAATCACTTTTGATACAGAAGTTTCAAACAGAAAATTAATTTTGCTTGAAATAGTCTTTTTTTTTTTTCCTGAAGTCATCTACAAAACAAAAATCTGAAATCTGTGGTGAAAACATCTTAGTTACAAAGAAACAAAGAAATGTTTTTTTTTAAATGTCATGCAAACCTTTTTTTTAATGAAAAAGTAGTGCTTTTTCACCATGAAAAAAATAGCAGATAATGATGACAATAACACTAATACTGGTAAAAATCTGACTGAAAACAGTCGTGTCATTTTCCCACCAGCCTCACAGCGTGGTGTTCAGGACTGGAGACAATTCTATGTAATATTCAAGTCTCCTCAGTGAGAGATGGTTTAGGATACACGGTTAGTTTGTCACTATACCAGTGAATTCAAGAAAGGAGTTAAGGGAATTATTAGACTGTAATATGCACATGGTTTTATTTGAAACCATGATAAATATTGAGCTTTTTCACCATACATTCCAACCCACTGCTTTGCAAAGGCAAGGGAGAATACAGATGGCTTTTTTGACCTACTGTACACCATGACCTCCATCTTTTTTCCTACTTTTGTCAGAAGGGTATGTAGATTTGTGGTCACTTTAAGTGAGTACAGCAGCCAGTGCTGTAAGCTACCCCTATATTTTAAAGTACAGCAGTTGATAAGGCTGAATGGAAAACTTTGAGCTTTGCCACAAATGTGAGCTTCAAGCACACCCTGTGCATACCTTTATATTGTGTATTTTGGCTAGCAGAAGATCAGAGATGTTAGTTTTGGAGAGAAGCCATTCACCTTGCATAATATTTATTGCACTGGGCTGGATATTGGAAACATATTTTGAGAACTTTCATTTCAGTTTTATTTGTGCTATTACTCTAGAAATGCCTTCATTTGAATATAATAGCTTAACAGACCTTCAAATTCAACCTTAATGCGCTTAAAAAGATTGGTTCTCCTGCTGTATTCAAGACAGAGCTCAGACCCGAATAGTAATGTATTATTCATAAAAAGAGAGCAGAAAATAACATAGGCAAATCTTAAGGGTGATGATAAGTTACATAGTAAAAGCAAATAGCCAATGAACCGAAGCCCATTGAATTTTATTTGTTATAGTCTGATCAAGTCCAGAAATGATTCTATGGTACCGTCCCAGAAATAATTCCAGGTGTTGGAAAACTTACCGAATAAATAGGCCAGACCATAAAAAGATAAGAGAGAGAGAGAGAAAAGAGCAGAAAACAGAATCAAGTTGTCCATGACCATAAGGAAAACCAACAGGACCAAGACTGGGACTTGCAGTTCTCCTGTTCCCATCCTGTGGCTTTCTCCAGAGGCCTGTGAGGCTGTTAGGAATATGATGAGCACAGATGTCACCACACTCACAGCTGTCACTATGCCACACAGAACACTCAGTTTGTCACTAATGAGTTTTTCGTGAATCACTTCTCCATTGGACAGTAATGCTAAGTACTTACTAGCTCAGATATCACGGCATGTTTGGATATCACAGTATGTAAATAGCTTGGATATCAACGTATGTTCTGACATATGTGCATTTCTTGGCATTTTGTCTGTAATTCCTGTGAAACGAATGAATGTTGCTGGAGGTCACCAAATTTCAATTGTGCTCGTGCCCAGTGTTTGTCATTCTGCAGTGCAGGTTTCAAAGCAAGGTGCCTTCTGGGTTTGGAGTCAACACACTTGACATTTGCTAGCTAAAAGCATCTAGCACACCCAGTCATCTGAGCTTCCTCTGGGTAGGGGAGAAGAAACCACTTATGATAAATACAAGATTAAGTAGTTTCCCATAGATAGCTCAGGAACCCCACATGAACAGCTGTAGCGCAGTTCGCTGACCAAGCATTTCTTTTATTCTGTTGTCTTCCCTAAGGTGTGACTTAGGGTAACTTTTGTTAATCCTTGGTGTGTAAGCATAGCAATACTAGAAAATGAGACCCTCACTGTGAGTGATAGAGTATTTATTCATCAGCAATAGCAGCTCAGTATTAATTAAAATGCACCAGTACTGGTGTGTTTAGCACAGATCTATGCACATCCATTGCAATGTATCATGACTATATTCCACGTGAGTTTAGAGTGTGTATCAGGTTTGATGCAAGCTCTTGAAGTAACACTGACTACCAGCTTCATGGGACTTCAGTTTTATTCTATGGGTTTCTCAGAAAATGGGGAGCCAACTGCTTTGTCTCTTCCTGAGGGAAGCTCAGATTCCCATGTAATTGCAAGATTCCAGGAGCAGGGGATTTAAAAATAAATGAATAAATCCATGCTATATAAAATAACAAACTTTGATGGTACTATTTACCCGTGAGAAACACAATCAAGACAGTCGTGTAATGTGTAGCAATCAAGGACATTTTGATGTGGTTGAGTCCAAAGCTGAATGAATGCATGATTCATCCTTTCAACTCAGCTACAGCTGACACTGCTGCAGCGCACAGTACCTGTAATGGTAACATTATAAAGGAATGCTAATTATCTGCCAAGCTATTGCCCCAGTAGAATAAATATCCCATACCACCAGCAATAGAATTAACTTCTGCTGTTTCATTGTTTTAATGCTTTTCTTGCCAGTGTTTAACTATAGATGCTGTATTAACATGCATTGCCACTTGAAGAACCAGCTAGTAGGCTGGGACAGAAGGTATGTTATATTTTACAACTGATGTAGTTCTCTGCAATCCCTTGGGCTGTTGAATAATGCAATACCTCTTCTGGAAATAAATGATGAACGTGATTTATAAATATGCTTTAAACAGGTGTCAAAAATCTGCTTTGTTGAACTTCCCTTCCCATTCCTCCAAGCTCCGCTGTGATTTAGGAACACCCAAGGTACAGAGCTGTGTATTTATCTAAGTTCTTCAGTATACAATTGTGGAGAGAGACAGAGGGGCAGGCGGCGGGGAAGCGAGAATTTAACCTATGTTTAGTGCATTGATTAGTCAAATGATATGTCCCAATCAGTCATTATCATGTACCGCTGATAGGGAGGAATTTCCTATCATGTATTTACATTAGAGAAACCAAAGTGCCAAAGTCATTATCTCAGCATAAATGTTATCATTCCTAACTTTGCTTAGTACCGTATTTCTATGTTATATCCAAAAAGCATATGAGCTTGTCATATCTCTGAAGTGATCAATGTTCCATGGAGTGTGTTAGATTTCAGCTTCAATTTAGGCTTGTTTCAGTTTAACTGGAGCAGAAAGCCAATTTCCTAATTTTGAGCATATGGGTGTGGGTATGTGTGTCTGTGTGTCTGCGTGCGAGTGTGTTTTGTCCCAATCCAAATGCAAATTTTCCTGTGACTAGCTTTTCAGGAGGTACTTTAATCTAACTAAAACCAGTGAGATCTTCCCAATTAGCAGTCGATACTTTTCTGCCACAGGAATGAACAACCACCCTGCAGATTCACTGAATTTTAAATTGCACATTTGTCAGTTTTCAATTCAAATGTATTTCAAATATTTTTTCCTGTTCCGCCTCCTGCTTTTGTGAACTGTTTTGAAGAGTGTAATAAAAGATGCTTTCTAATATTATTTTGTCAAAATATTTTTGTAGCATAATATATTAATAAAATGTTATTATAAATCCATAGCACAAGAATCGTGTATGTCTGAGTTCTTTCTTTTGCACTACAAGCTATGCAATCACTGAAAAGGAGAAAAGTCAGTTTGCAGCATTTCCTTTTGCTCAAGACCAACTTTGATGATGAGGAATTAATTCTCTGGGAAAGGTTTCTTATAGAATAATTCAAATAAAAATACAAATACAAATAAAAATGGACCTGTGTCTCCCTTGGGGATGGCCCTGAAGCTACCTCTCTGCACCAAGGTGCAGCGACACAGAGCTCTGCTCATTTTTCTTGGCATATTCCTTTCTGTTCCTGCATCCAAAGCCTGCCTCGCAGCTGACATTTCAGACTTCTTCCTGGTCACAGGATTGTTGCTTGCTTATTAATTAGGTGCTAAATCATTTGCTCCTTAACACACTATTTTGGAGAGGACTCCACCAGCAAAGCTGGTTTAGAAATATCCACCACAGGAAACAGCGCAAGTACTTGAGCTAGTCTGAAGTGAACTAACTAAGGCACAGGAAGGGATCGCCACTGAAACACAGGGAGGAACGTCTCTAAAAACATGATAAAAAAGACTCCATTGTTTAAAATATACCCAACAATCTCCACCATGGGTCTCTGAGCCAGTCCAGAGTCCACATGGTCCAGCCCTGGCCCTAACCATCCCTGCCCCTGGCCAGCCTCTCACTGCCAGCTATTCCTGGCCCTGACCAGCCCCAGTCTGCCAAATCCTTTTGCTCTGAAGTGTTCTGCTCAGCCACAGGTCTGAAAAGCTGAAAAACCTTCCGTCAGCACAGCCAGATATTGGCTCAGTGGTGCCGTTTGCTTAAGCTTCTCCTTCCCTTGACCCCTCTCTGTACTCCTAGGTTGTAATTTCAGCTTTCTACTCCAATGCGAGATTTTCTTGTTTATAGATTTGCACTGGGAAGAGGCGAAGCTGTGATGAGAAAAATTCAGGGCAGACAGTTTGGGTTTCTTGTGGGACATCTCGGGATCTGTGCTGCTGTCCAGCAGCCCATCTCCTTGTTGGATCAGCGCTTCCCAGGACTCTCCAGTTCCCAAATCGCCCAAGTGCCAGCCACGAGAGCTCCCCTCGCTGAAGGGGCTGGGTGTAGCTAAACGAAGCCTCACTGTGACTCCAGCTTTCGTTTTGCTCAGCAGTTTCCAGTATTTTTGGCTAGTGAACTCCCAGAAATTTTCCAGCTCAGAGTGCAGACCATCCCCTGCCCCAACTGACTTGTGATGTACAGAAGTGCCTTCTCTGAGTCTTCTGCTGCAAATGCTGCAGAATTAGGCCAGAGATCTCCAGGGGCCTGGGGACCACAGGCAGGTGTCCCTGAGCCAGTGTCCTGCACCCTTCTTTTGACCAGGCTGAGGATGGTCATGGAGAGCTGCATGGTGCAGAAATAGCCAAATGCAGTCTGCTGTGATATATATCTCTTGATATATTTTTTTCCTTTTGATCACTTTGGGCTTTAATTAAAAAGCAGCATATTCTTGGTTCTCTGTGTCCGAAAAGCATTTAAGCGGGTAAAAAATATTCCCAGGAGAGATTTTGCTTTTGTAGGGGTTAGGAGTCATTTTCTAGCAAAGACCTCAAGCATAACTTGTGTGTGTGTCTTCTTTTTTTTTTTTTTTTTTTTTTTTGGTCTGCTTTTCTTTGCCTTTTTTTTTTTTTTCCTTTCCCTTCTACTCCCAGTATTTATTGCCAATTGATCTTATTAACTTACCCTGTACTAATAGAGCTTCCCCGCTGCCTATTGCCTGCTACCTGTTCTTATGAAACTCCTACAAATTATTATGCTTGAGACTTCCAACCCCACGTAAGCAGTTTTAAGAACTGCTGGCCAAGGTGCAGTTCCAGAAGACAGCGATCACATAACCATTGGCATTCTAGAAACGAGTCCACAATGTGGCTTAGAAGCAAATGTATTGAGGCAACACATCTGAAGGAAAACACATCATTGCCTGTGCGTTTAACCACTACTGAATCAAGGCAGAGGTGTTTTTATTGCACTTGATTTGTGGAGGGGCTGAACATATTTTATCAAGCAGGGGAAAAGCTGGTGTTTAGCTTAAAGTTACGGTGGGCTGTGCCTCTAGCTGCAGACTCCACTGAGGACTTTCCCAAAGACGTGCCCACCTATTGCAGCCACGGAAAGGAGCTGTGGGGCATCTCCAGGGGCTTGGCTGGAGCAGAGGGGACTGCTTAGAAATATATTTAATGGTGAGAGCCCAGTTGGATGTACAGATGGAGCCAGAAGAACAGCAAAAATCACAGAGGATATCCAAAGACAAAAATAACCAGACACCCATAAGTCTGCTGCCAGTAACTGAAACAATAGTAATGGAAAAAATAGTATGTGTATAGGTTGCTAAAGAGCTGGATGGTGGGAATATGATTACTTAATTTCACTGGGGTCTTAAACTGTAAAACACTGAAAGTTTTTATTGAGCATTACAAATTCTGTATTAGCTTTTTTAACAGACTGTTTCTCTCACTTTAAATAGGAGCCCTGCGGTGTCTCCCTGTGCGTTCAGTGAGTGTCAGGCGCTGGGTTTTGGAAGGGCAGATAGCAACAGCAGTGCAAACACACACAGGGCGTGCTCCCCCTGCACCAGCCCGTGCCCAAGGATGTGCTTAGCAGGAACACCTGGAGAGCTCTGTGGGGCTCAAGCACCAGGACTTGAGGACCATGGGACAGACCTCAAGGCTCAAGGCCTGGCACTACCACCACATTTTGTGGGTGTAAAAAAGGAGGCAGGACTCAAACCCCCAACAGGTACAATATCTTTAAGCTAACCTGTGCCTTCATAACACCCCATAAACTTAACAAACCATTCTGCCCTTTCTCTGGGTGTAACACCTGGCAAACTGCATCATGTGTGCAGGGAGAGCCAACGTGCAGGCAGAGGCCTTCCCCTGACTGCAGTGGGCTTTGCACCAGGTCCTGAACACCTAAGGCATTTAAGCAGCATGTCCCAGTCCTGCAAGAATAAACGCCTTGCTCTAAAGCATGCCAGCACTTTGCTAGGTTAGTCGCCTCTTTTAGGTGAAAACCACCATCTGAAGTACTTCAGTGTATTCCACTTTCACATTTAGCATGGATCAGGTTAAACTGGCAGAACAAATTACACAGAGCCAAACCTCCATCGAGCTGATTTCCAGAGGAATGATAACAATAATAACAGCAACAGTGAGTTCATGCTAACAGCCCTCATTCACACCTGGAGCTCCCTGCCTTCGTGGAATGAGAAGCAGTTTGAACAAAGGGACCAAGATAATGTGAGAAAACATCAACAGCAGGCCGATAGAGGCAAAGTAAATGAAAGACAGATGTAGAAGGGAAAGTGGGAGCTTTCTGCTTTGATTTGCACAGACCCCATATCTTTATTGTCCTAAGGAATATCAGTTTGTTGTCCTAACGGTATCAGTTCTCCAGTCCTCTTGCATGACTTATGATGCACCTTTTCCTCCTTCGTATGAAACCCATTGGTTTTAATTATAATGTGATGGATGCACAGCCCAAGATAGTGCTATGTGGGTGAATTATTTGAACAGCAGTGCAGTGGGCCCTTTTGCTTTTCAGAGATTTCTGCAGCTGTTTATCTTGGCAGGGGTAGGTTTGTCCCCAGCTTCATCCTGTGTGAAGTCCTTTCCACCCACTCAAGTTAGCCTGTGCATTCACCTCATTTTTAATGGGAGCATTATTATCTTCTACTACGCACTGGCAAAAGCATCTCTCAAAAGGGGATAAGGCAGAAACCCACACCTACCCGTCCTTCTTGAACAATTGTCTTCATTCCCAAAGTAGGAAGCGAGCACTTTGAGGAATCTGCCAGGAATTGTTTTTCTCTTAGCCTCAGTCCAGACCAGAAGTGGACACAGAGGCTGTGATATCATTGCTCAGACAGAAGGATCTTCTTGAAGACGCATTAGTTCAGATAATGTGCGCACTGGAAGCACAATAGCTGTGGTTGTGTGGTTGAATGACGGACAAAGCTAGTTGTGTTTCCTGGCTGTGCACTTGCCTAGCATGGCCCTGAGAGCAGGATCCAGCCCACACAGTGACCCCATCCTGCTGCTGCATTTTCCTCCAAGGGAAATGCAAATAGTTCATGAAGAGCCATACTTTTTTTTTTTTTCTTGGCCCTGCTTGTGGCCATGTGTGTTGAGTCAATGAGAGGAAAGAGGGTTGGGTTGGAGACTTTTCTCTGCTGACGTTATGCAGAGCCTGGGGCTAGAGACGGGGCTTGGTTGCCCACCACTGGGGGGATGATGAAGAGGCACCAACACCTGTGCCCTTCCTCGTGGCCAAGTGAGCCTGTAGAAGGACAGGCAAAGTGAGATCATGATGCACATGGAAACAGTAAAATTCTGGGAGCTGGATGGATTGTGCCTTCACAACACTGTCCTTTACTTTCCTTGAAACCACAGCCTTCCTGGCTCATCGTCACACAAAAGCAGTAACTCTAAGGGAAGGGGGAGAACACTGCAGTGCTGGTGTTAATGGAAGACTCAGACACAAAGACAAAAATGCATACCAGGCTTGGAGACTCTACAGCACACTGCCAGCAACAGGCCCTGCTTGAAAGGAAAGTACCTATCTCAGCATGCAGTCGAGAGGAATAATAAAACTCCAGCCATTCAGAGGCAGGGAAGAGGAGAAAAACACTCATAAATGTGCTGGTGTATATTTCTCCTGAACTTTGAAAATAATTTTTCTCTCCTGCTCAGATATTACTCACAGAAGCACATGACACCGTATCTGGGAAAAAAGTTGGGTGGATGGAAATGATCTTTGGGGAGAAGGAGAGGAGGAAGGGAGCAGCCACATATTTCTCTGTGTGCCTTTCTCACCTTGCCCTTTCTCTGAGCCTGAACATACAAATGAAAGAGTTGGGGGAAAAAAAATTGAGCACTTGGGTCTAGCCTAAGGCCAGTGGGAAGCTTTCCACAGCCGTCTGGTGGGTTCAGGGAGCTGACCTCACAGCTCCACAATCTCCCAGTGCTCCCACTCTGCAA